TTTCTCTCCAAATATGCCAGTACATATCACAATTTGAACAACAAACGAACAATGTAAGTACATTGCTGGCTGGGGCATGTCGTGCAGCTTGTTTTTCAATGCCTTGTAAAACCGTATCCCTTTTGAAAAGCATTTTTTGGTCGTTCCGTTTACAGCAGGCACAAAATCACTTTATATATATTTATATACATATAATATTCAGCATTGCATTATATTCACCTCAATAGTTGTAAATGTACATAAAATATGGTTTAGGTAGATCAGTTATTACAAATGATAGTATTTGTAAAAATCCAGAGTAGTATATTCTTAATAGTAAGTATATTCTGAACTAAGAGAAGAATCTCACAAGAAAAAGGATCTAAACGGAAGGAAAGCCAAAAGTACATACTATGCGTTTTCCAATTACTGCAAAAACTATTCAGAGCAAGGAAGGCCATAGAAAGCAATTCTTTTGAGTACTTAACATAATCTTCCAGGGACATGTCCGTCCGATAGGCGTAAACGTAATTGTTTGTAGTGGTGACGCGCTAAATTGATTCAACAACTTGTGGCTGTTTAATGGGCAGATTGTGTCCAAGTAGATGTTTTGGGTCTTACAATTAACGCTTATGTAAACTCTGTACCCCCTAAGCATTGCAGATTAATTCCACTGTGTATTCTACTGTGAGGCATTTATAGCCAATATCGAAAAAACATATCTCCACTTTCGAACATTTTGAATCGGAGGTGAGGTGAAATTTGGTTTTTAACGTCGCGTCCAAGATTATTGCACTTATATAGCGACGTGCATGTACGTGTCTGTGTGGCTGCTTGTACTAGTCCGGACTGATGCCGATGTATAGTACTAGCCCACTAAGATACCATGTCGCAGTTTAACATGAATACCCCACTCAGACACAGTATACTGACTCCGAGCCGACCAGTCCTTGTTTTAGCCCTTTAATGCCGAGCGCCAGACAGGGTAACAACAAGTACCATCTTTTAACGTCTTTTGGTATGACGCGGTCGAGGATCGAACCCCGGATCTTCGCTCTACCACTAGACCACGGAGGCGGTCATTTTAAATCTGAAACGGGAAAAGGGAAAGGCACCACGATTAATGCAATTATTATATATTGTTTCAATTTGTTATAACATAGAAAAGACATATTTCTTATGTTTGAAGCAGAATTTGACACGTCAAACCCTATGTTCAGTAATGCAAATGAGTTTTATGTGTACTTATTGCAAACTTATTGGCATAATACCCATCATGGCTTGCCATCATCTTGAACGGGTACAGACACAAGTGTAAACACTACTTTCCCAGCCTATTCCAAACCTTTCAGGAAAGTATTATGATTGGAAATAACATTAAAACAGTAAGAAATAAATGGAAAGTGGTGCATCGATGTATATATACGTATATATACGATATATTCCAAACCCAAACTAGTCCACTTTTTTTATGGAGTGATTACTTTGATAGGATGCCGATACGGTTCCTATTCTAACCTGCTGGCTACAATTGGTGATTCAAGTGGTACTTGATTGACCTCAACGTCATCAGCTTAGGTTCGCACGCTGCGTCATAATAGTTAACATCAAGCAAAATGACTTTGAGAACATGGCGCCGTTAAAAAATGTTTATATCAGTTTTTTTCGCACGTCTTCTACTTCCGTCGACTTACCGGACGAAGAGATAGAATGTGGTAGCCCTTGAGACTCGAACATGATTAACTCATTGATAAATTGGCATTAGGATCTGGGTGGCCTAATCGTCCAAGGCGTTGTAATTCTCTGTGCAGAGTTGCATTCATTAGACGTCAGTGTAGGTTCGAATCCCAGCTCGCCCCGATTATGTTCCTAGATTAGCCAGCATAAAATCTTTTTCGGGTTTCCTCCAACAATGAAGCGTCGTTAAACCTAACACAAATCTGTTTTACTGTTCGACAGGCTTGTACTCGCCACATTAATCATTGTGCCAGTCGGTCCCTCGTGCTACACTGAAGCTGGTGTTCCATGCACTAGTTGGTTGTCCTACGGGATCGGTATGTTAGTTAACCGCAAGGTGATAGATATGTTGGTCAACTTTATACATGTATGGACTGAGATAGCTTCATTGGATTGTTAGTTAACTCACATAGTCTCAAGGTGATGGCAAGGTCATAGATATGTTGGTTAATTTTGTGTATTGAACTTACAAGGTCTCAAGGGAATGGCAAGGTCATAGATATATTGGTTAATTTTGTGTATTAAACTCACATAGTATCAAGGGGATGTCAAGGTCATAGATATGTTGGTTAATTTTGTGTATAGAACTCACAATGCCTCAAGGGAATGGCAAGGTCATAGATATGTTGGTTAATTTTGTGTATAGAACTTACATAGTCTCAAGGGAATGGCAAGGTCATAGATATGTTGGTTAATTTTGTGTAATGAACTCACATAGTCTCAAGGGAATGGCAAGGTCATAGATATGTTGGTTAATTTTGTGTAATGAACTCACATAGTCTCAAGGCAATGGCAAGGTCATAGATATGTTGGTTAATTTTGTGTATTGAACTCACAATGTCTCAAGGGAATGGCAAGATCATAGATATGTTGGTTAATTTTGTGTAATGAACTCACATAGTCTCAAGGGAATGGCAAGGTCATAGATATGTTGGTTAATTTTGTGTAATGAACTCACATAGTCTCAAGGGAATGGCAAGGTCATAGAAATGTTGGTTAATTTTGTGTATAGAACTTATATAGTCTCAAGGCAATGGCAAGGTCATAGATATGTTGGTTAATTTTGTGCATTGAACTTATATAGTCTCAAGGGAATGGCAAGGTCATAGATATGTTGGTTAATTTTGTGTAATGAACTCACATAGTCTCAAGGGAATGGCAAGGTCATAGAAATGTTGGTTAATTTTGTGTATAGAACTTATATAGTCTCAAGGCAATGGCAAGGTCATAGATATGTTGGTTAATTTTGTGTAATGAACTTATATAGTCTCAAGGGAATGGCAAGGTCATAGAAATGTTGGTTAATTTTGTGTATAGAACTTACATAGTCTCAAGGGAATGGCAAGGTCATAGATATATTGGTTAATTTTGTGAATTGAACTTACATAGTCTCAAGGCAATGGCAAGGTCATAGATATGTTGGTTAATTTTGTGTATTGAACTCACAATGTCTCAAGGCAATGGCAAGGTCATAGATATATTAGTTAATTTTGTGCATTGAACTCACATAGTCTCAAGGGAATGGCAAGGTCATAGATATGTTGGTTAATTTTGTGCATTGAACTCACAATGTCTCAAGGGAATGGCAAGGTCATAGATATGTTGGTTAATTTTGTTTAATGAACTCACATAGTCTCAAGGCAATGGCAAGGTCATAGATATGTTGGTTAATTTTGTGTAATGAACTCACATAGTATCAAGGGAATGGCAAGGTCATAGATATATTGGTTAATTTTGTGAATTGAACTTACATAGTCTCAAGGGAATGGCAAGGTCATAGATAAATTGGTTAATTTTGTGAATTGAACTTATATAGTCTCAAGGGAATGGCAAGGTCATAGAAATGTTGGTTAATTTTGTGTATAGAACTAACATAGTCTCAAGGCAATGGCAAGGTCATAGATATATTGGTTAATTTTGTGAATTGAACTTACATAGTCTCAAGGCAATGGCAAGGTCATAGATATTTTGGTTAATTTTGTGTATTGAACTCACAATGTCTCAAGGCAATGGCAAGGTCATAGATATATTAGTTAATTTTGTGCATTGAACTCACATAGTCTCAAGGGAATGGCAAGGTCATAGATATGTTGGTTAATGTTGTGTAATGAACTCACATAGTCTCAAGGGAATGGCAAGGTCATAGATATATTGGTTAATTTTGTGAATTGAACTTACATAGTCTCAAGGGAATGGCAAGGTCATAGATATATTGGTTAATTTTGTGAATTGAACTTATATAGTCTCAAGGGAATGGCAAGGTCATAGAAATGTTGGTTAATTTTGTGTATAGAACTTACATAGTCTCAAGGCAATGGCAAGGTCATAGATATATTGGTTAATTTTGTGAATTGAACTTACATAGTCTCAAGGCAATGGCAAGGTCATAGATATGTTGGTTAATTTTGTGTATTGAACTCACAATGTCTCAAGGCAATGGCAAGGTCATAGATATATTAGTTAATTTTGTGCATTGAACTCACAATGTCTCAAGGGAATGGCAAGGTCATAGATATGTTGGTTAATTTTGTGCATTGAACTCACATAGTCTCAAGGGAATGGCAAGGTCATAGATATGTTGGTTAATGTTGTGTAATGAACTCACATAGTCTCAAGGGAATGGCAAGGTCATAGATATGTTGGTTAACTTTGTGCTTTGAACTCACAATGTCTCAAGGGAATGGCAAGGTCATAGATATGTTGGTTAATTTTGTTTAATGAACTCACATAGTCTCAAGGGAATGGCAAGGTCATAGATATGTTGGTTAATTTTGTTTAATGAACTCACATAGTCTCTAGGGAATGGCAAGGTCATAGATATGTTGGTTAATTTTGTGCATTGAACTCACAATGTCTCAAGGGAATGGCAAGGTCATAGATATGTTGGTTAATTTTGTTTAATGAACTCACATAGTCTCTAGGGAATGGCAAGGTCATAGATATGTTGGGTTTTTTTGTTTAATGAACTCACATAGTCTCTAGGGAATGGCAAGGTCATAGATATGTTGGTTAATTTTGTGCATTGAACTCACATAGTCTCAAGGGAAGGGCAAGGTCATAGATATGTTGGTTAATTTTGTGCATTGAACTCACATAGTCTCAAGGGAATGGGAAGGTCATAGAAATGTTGGTTATTTTGTGTATGGAACTCGCATAGTCTCAAGGGAATGGCAAGGTCATAGATATGTTGGTTTGCCGTGTCTGGTAAACTCATATGGTCTTAAGGGAGCACAGGGCGATGGATGTACTTGTTCAGTGTATGTATTTTTTTAATAATATTTCAGATTGTACGTTATGGCATCTGAGACACTACTACTGTTGTTGGCGGTGACCATGGCCGCGTTGTCCGAAAAGATATGCACGGACGTTGGCAAACTTCCTATCCAGAACAACACGCGCCTCACCCACCACACCTTCCTGTCCATGCACATGTCAAGTATTATGATGTGTGCCCGGGCTTGCATAAACAGGGGGCGCTGCAAGTCCTTCAACTTCGAACTCTCGTACCGGTCCTGTGAGCTGAACCAGGCCAACTACGCCGAGACGGGCACCCTCAGTAATGAGGATCCGTGGGTGTATTATGACATTGCAGGATTCCCTCAGGTAACATACAATATGATAATGATATAATATTGTCCACCAAGTCATACAACAGGCTCGTTAATACACACTTTTTAAAAGTACACCATGTTAAAAAGAAGCCATGTAATACAACACCCAAGTTAATTCAGTACACAAGGTAATACAGCACGTAAGTTAATACAGTACACAAGGTAGTATAGCACATCAGGTAACAAACCATATCAGGTAACACCAGGGAAAGTACCACACAAGGTAATACAACACATCAGGTAATACAGCACACAAGGTAATACAGCACACAAGGTAATAAAGCACACAAGGTAATACAGCACATCATGTAATGCAGCACACAAGGTAATATAGCACACCAGGTAATACAGCACATCATGTAATGCAGCACACAAGGTAATACAGCACACAAGGTAATACAGCACATCATGTAATGCAGCACACAAGGTAATACAGCACACCAGGTAATGCAGCACACCAGGTAATACAGCACACAAGGTAATACAGCACATCATGTAATGCAGCACACCAGGTAATACAGCACACAAGGTAATACAGCACACAAGGTAATACAGCACATCATGTAATGCAGCACACAAGGTAATACAGCACACCATGTAATGCAGCACACCAGGTAATACAGCACACAAGGCAATACAGCACACCAGGTAATACAGCACATCATGTAATTAGCACACAAGGTAATACAGCACACCAGGTAATACAGCACACCAGGTAATGCAGCACACAAGGTAATACAGCACACCAGGTAAAACAGCACACAAGGTAATACAGCACACAAGGTAATACAGCACATCATGTAATGCAGCACACAAGGTAATACAGCACACCAGGTAATACAGCACACCAGGTAATGCAGCACACAAGGTAATACAGCACACAAGGCAATACAGCACACCAGGTAATACAACACATCATGTAATGCAGCACACAAGGTAATACAGCACATCATGTAATGCAGCACACCAGGTAATACAGCACACAAGGTAATACAGCACACAAGGCAATACAGCACACCAGGTAATACAACACATCATGTAATGCAGCACACAAGGTAATACAGCACATCATGTAATGCAGCACACAAGGTAATACAGCACACCAGGTAATACAGCACACCAGGTAATACAGCACATCATGTAATGCAGCACACAAGGTAATACAGCACACAAGGTAATACAGCACACCAGGTAATACAGCACACAAGGTAATACAGCACATCATGTAATACAGCACACCAGGTAATACAGCACACCAGGTAATACAACACATCATGTAATGCAGCACACAAGGTAATACAGCACACCAGGTAATACAGCACATCATGTAATGCAGCACACAAGGTAATACAGCACACAAGGTAATACAGCACATCATGTAATGCAGCACACAAGGTAATACAGCACACCAGGTAATACAACACATCATGTAATGCAGCACACAAGGTAATACAGCACACCAGGTAATACAGCACACCAGGTAATACAGCACACCAGGTAATACAACACATCATGTAATGCAGCACACAAGGTAATACAGCACACCAGGTAATACAGCACACAAGGTAATACAGCACATCATGTAATTAGCACACAAGGTAATGCAGCACACAAGGTAATACAGCACACCAGGTAATACAGCACATCATGTAATGCAGCACACAAGGTAATACAGCACACCAGGTAATACAGCACACCAGGTAATACAGCACATCATGTAATGCAGCACACAAGGTAATACAGCACACAAGGTAATACAGCACACCAGGTAATACAGCACACAAGGTAATACAGCACATCATGTAATACAGCACACCAGGTAATACAGCACATCATGTAATGCAGCACACAAGGTAATACAGCACATCATGTAATGCAGCACACAAGGTAATACAGCACACCATGTAATGCAGCACACAAGGTAATACAGCACACCAGGTAATGCAGCACACCAGGTAATACAGCACACAAGGCAATACAGCACACCAGGTGATGCAGCACACCAGGTAATACAGCACACAAGGTAATACAGCACACAAGGTAAAACATCACATTAGGTAATACCAAGTTATACTCGTTAATACACACTAGGTATAAAAGGACATCAGGTTATAAATAAAGCCATTTAAGACAGTTTCCCAGTTGATACAGTTCAAAAGGTCATATTACACATCAGGTAACACACAACACCAGGTAACACAGCACACAAGCTAATTCAGCGCACCAGGTAACACAGCACACAAGCTAATTCAGCGCACCAGGTAACACAGCACACAAGCTAATTCAGCGCACCAGGTAACACAGCACACAAGCTAATTCAGCGCACCAGGTAACACAGCACACAAGCTAATTCAGCGCACCAAGTAATACAGCACATCACGCAATACAGCATATCATATAATACAGCACACCAAGTAATACAGCACACCAGGCAAGACAAAACATGAGAAAAACAGCAAACCAGGCACTATCTCAGGCAAAGTATTATAACCTACAGGATGATACGACACACAAGGCACTACACCATGCTAAGTAATACAGCATACTAGGTACTATGAAACATCAGGCAATGCAGTACGTTAGGTTATAAAGCACACTAGATGATATAGCATGCCAGGAAATGAGTAAGTGAGTGAGTGAGTTTTACGCCGCGTTTAGCAATATTCCAGCAATATCACGACGGGGGACACCGGAAAATGGGCTTCACACATTGTACCCATGTGGGGAATCGAACCCGGATCTTCGGTATGACGAGCCAATGCTTTAACCACTGGGCTACCCCACCGCCCGCCAAGAAATGCTAGCTAGCATGCTAGCTAAAACGGTTCGTAACGACACACCAGCATGTTAATACAGCAAGGTATGATTTCCATCTCATGTATACCATTGGAAAGTAATTTATCCTTGATGTTCTGAAAATAACATGGTGGTGGCATAACCAAGTGGTTAAAGCGCTCGCTCATCATGCAAAATGAACTGGTTCGATTCCCCACATGGGTACAATGTTTGAAACGTATTTCGTGTGTTTCCCGTCGGGATATTTCCAAAACCTATTGCCAAAAGCGGTATAAAATCATATTCCCTCACTTGAGTGAAATAGTCATGAACCGTGTTGTCTCAGCGGACTCCTTTCTGTACACCTTTAGTGCTGATAGCAGACACTAAAAGCATGTTAAGGGCAAGTGCAGATTATGCCATGTTCCGCTCTAAACACAAACATAGTATGTTGTGATCACTGCTGTCGTTAGTAATATGGTGTCAGTTTTCTCTTTCTTGGGTGCCACAAAAATCAAGTTATATGTCCATGTTGTTTATTTTAGTCAGTGCGACAAGAGTGCCAGGGTGTCACGTGTGGTTATAATGAGACGTGCGAGATTTCCTCGTCACTCCAACCAGCCTGTCACACATGCAGCATCGCAGCAGCCTGTGGAGTATGCTACCCCACCACAGGTAGGTACACTGTACACCATGCTACCATACCACAGGTAGGTACACTGTAGACCATGCTACTCTACCACAGGTAGGTACACTGTACACCGTGCTACTCTGCCACAGGTAGTTACACTGTACACCATGCTACTCTACCACAGGTAGGTACACTGTACACCATGCTACCCTACCACAGGTAGGTACACTGTAGACTATGCTACCCCACCACAGGTAGGTACACTGTACACCATGCTACCCTACCACAGGTAGGTACACTGTAGACCATGCTACCCTACCACAGGTAGGTCCACTGTAGACTATGCTACCCCACCACAGGTAGGTACACTGTACACCATGCTACCATACCACAGGTAGGTACACTGTAGACCATGCTTCTCTACCACAGGTAGGTACACTGTACACCATGCTACCCTACCACAGGTAGGTACACTGTAGACCATGCTACCCCACGACAGGTAGGTACACTGTACATCATGCTACCCTACCACAGGTAGGTACACTGAAGACCATGCTTCCCTACCACAGGTAGGTACACTGTACACCATGCTACCCTGCCACAGGTAGGTACGCTGTACACCATGCTACCCTACCACAGGTAGGTACACTGTACACCGTGCTACTCTACCACAGGTAGGTACACTGTACACCATGCTACTCTACCACAGGTAGGTACACTGTACACCATGCTACTCTATCACAGGTAGGTACACTGTACACCATGCTACCCTACCACAGGTAGGTACACTGTACACCATGCTACCCTACCACAGGTAGGTCCACTGTAGACTTTGCTACTCTACCACAGGTAGGTACACTGTACACCATGCTACTCCACCACAGGTAGGTACACTGTAGACCATGCTACTCTACCACAGGTAGGTACACTGTACACCATGCTACCCTACCACAGGTAGGTACACTGTAGACTATGCTACCCCACCACAGGTAGGTACACTGTACACCATGCTACCCTACCACAGGTAGGTACACTGTAGACCATGCTACCCTACCACAGGTAGGTCCACTGTAGACTATGCTACCCCACCACAGGTAGGTACACTGTACACCATGCTACCATACCACAGGTAGGTACACTGTAGACCATGCTTCTCTACCACAGGTAGGTACACTGTACACCATGCTACCCTACCACAGGTAGGTACACTGTAGACCATGCTACCCTACCACAGGTAGGTACACTGTACATCATGCTACCCTACCACAGGTAGGTACACTGAAGACCATGCTTCCCTACCACAGGTAGGTACACTGTACACCATGCTACCCTGCCACAGGTAGGTACGCTGTACACCATGCTACCCTACCACAGGTAGGTACACTGTACACCGTGCTACTCTACCACAGGTAGGTACACTGTACACAATGCTACCTCACCACAGGTAGGTACACTGTACACCATGCTACTCTACCACAGGTAGGTACACTGTACACAATGCTACCTCACCACAGGTAGGTACACTGTACACCGTGCTACTCTACCACAGGTAGGTACACTGTACACCATGCTACTCTACCACAGGTAGGTACACTGTACACCATGCTACTCTATCACAGGTAGGTACACTGTACACCATGCTACCCTACCACAGGTAGGTACACTGTACACCATGCTACCCTACCACAGGTAGGTCCACTGTAGACTATGCTACTCTACCACAGGTAGGTACACTGTACACCATGCTACTCCACCACAGGTAGGTACACTGTAGACCATGCTACTCTACCACAGGTAGTTACACTGTAGACCATGCTACCCTACCACAGGTATGTACACTGTACACCATGCTACTCTACCACAGGTAGGTCCACTGTAGACTATACTACCCCACCACAGGTAGGTACACTGTACACCATGCTACTCTACCACAGGTAGGTACACTGTACACCATGCTACCCCACCACAGGTAGTTACACTGTACACAATGCTACTCTACCACAGGTAGGTACACTGTACACCATGCTTCACTACCACAGGTAGGTACACTGTACACCATGCTTCTCTACCACAGGTAGGTACACTGTACACCATGCTACCCTACCACAGGTAGGTACACTGTACACCATGCTTCACTACCACAGGTAGGTACACTGTACACCATGCTACTCTACCACAGGTAGGTACACTGTACACCATGCTACCCTACCACAGGTAGGTACACTGTACACCGTGCTACTCTACCACAGGTAGGTACACTGTACACAATGCTACCTCACCACAGGTAGGTACACTGTACACCATGCTACTCTACCACAGGTAGGTACACTGTACACAATGCTACCTCACCACAGGTAGGTACACTGTACACCGTGCTACTCTACCACAGGTAGGTACACTGTACACCATGCTACTCTACCACAGGTAGGTACACTGTACACCATGCTACTCTATCACAGGTAGGTACACTGTACACCATGCTACCCTACCACAGGTAGGTACACTGCACACCATGCTACCCTACCACAGGTAGGTCCACTGTAGACTATGCTACTCTACCACAGGTAGGTACACTGTACACCATGCTACTCCACCACAGGTAGGTACACTGTAGACCATGCTACTCTACCACAGGTAGTTACACTGTAGACCATGCTACCCTACCACAGGTATGTACACTGTACACCATGCTACTCTACCACAGGTAGGTCCACTGTAGACTATGCTACCCCACCACAGGTAGGTACACTGTACACCATGCTACTCTACCACAGGTAGGTACACTGTACACCATGCTACCCCACCACAGGTAGTTACACTGTACACAATGCTACTCTACCACAGGTAGGTACACTGTACACCATGCTTCACTACCACAGGTAGGTACACTGTACACCATGCTTCTCTACCACAGGTAGGTACACTGTACACCATGCTACCCTACCACAGGTAGGTACACTGTACACCATGCTTCACTACCACAGGTAGGTACACTGTACACCATGCTACTCTACCACAGGTACGTACACTGTACACCATGCTTCACTACCACAGGTAGGTACACTGTACACCATGCTACTCTACCACAGGTAGGTACACTGTACACCATGCTACCCTACCACAGGTAGGTACACAGTACACCATCCTTCGCTACCACAGGTAGGTACACTGTAGACCATGCTTCGCTACCACAGGTAGGTACACTGTAGACCATGCTACCCTACCACAGGTAGGTCCACTGTAGACCTTGCTACTCTACCTACTCTATTTCGACGATAACATCCATGATGTTGTTAATGATGTAAATTTATCTGATATTGAGCGAGATATTTTAGAATCGGAAATTGAAGTCGCTGAAATACACGATGCCATTAATACAGTTAAATCAGGTAGATCTCCAGGCCCCGATACCTCAGTGTTGTTTTACCGTTTAACCTTAATCTTAAACATCCAGTTAACGATCTCGCCCTACGAGCAAAACAGGCCCTAATAAATCTATTTGTCGTTCTAGATAAATTGCGTGTTATCTCACCTACTATTTGCTTCAAAATGTTTGATGCTCAAGTTCAACCAATCTTATTATATGGATCAGAGGTCTGGGGTTTTGAAACCTATTACAATATTGAAAAGGTACACTTAACCGCATGTAAAAGAAATGTTTCTAAATCGGCTACAAATCATATGGTCTATGGCGAATGTGGTAGATACCCGTTATATATTTGTTCATATTTACGTTTACTCAGATACTGGCTCAAAATAACAGAGATGTCGCGGGAACGAATGCCAAGAAAATGCTACGAAATGCTTGTCTATCGTGATAGTGTTGGTTACGTAACCTGGGCATCAAACATTAAGCATTGACTTTTCTCTCACGGATTTGGATATGTTTGGCTTAATCAAAGCGTTGGAGACAAAATGTATTTTCTTAGCTCTTTCAAGCAGGTAGCAATTGATATGTTTACTCAAAATTGGAGGTCGCCACTAGATAACAGTACACGTTACGACGTCTATAAAACCTTTAAATATTGTCTAACACCAGAGATTTACCTGCATACTATAACAGAGAGAAAAAATAGAGACACATTTATTGAACTTAGGCTAGGGTTAAATGATTTGATGTGCAACAGGGGTCGCTTCTCCTCTATTCCTAAGGATATGTGTTTTTGTCCATTCTGCGAAAACCATATTGAAAACGAATTACACTTTTTGTTTATATGTCCAATTTACGACAACCTAAGATTGAAATATATGCCTGATATCACTAAGAACCACTATTCCATGAACAAAATATTATATTTTAATGGTATCCCTTGTCAAAAATTAACTAAGATATTACAATACATCTATCAAAGTCTACGAGTGCTTTGTAAATTACTCAGTAAATCCGATATGTCCAGAAATAATTAGTTGTTTTGAAACTTTCGCATCTAGATCAGGAGTATCTACATTTCATTTTTGTCTGTTTGTTTCTACTAGAAATGCATATACATTTAAATTGTCAAATTGTCTTGACATGATGAGTATATTACTGATAGATCCTTTTGTATTGAACGTCGTGCTATGGCTGAAAGCCTTTGCGACGTAAAACTTCATGTTTCTATTCCATTCCTTTTGTATTCCTTTTGTATTTTATACTACTACTGCTGCCACTGTGGTTATTACCACTGTTATTACAATACCTCTATTACATGTCAAGCATCATATTAGTTATCCAGTAATTATAGAATGCGCTGTACAGCTGTAAATGATATTGTTTATCTGTATGTGTATGTGGGCCAATGGCCTTTCATACAATAAAGATTGATTGATTGACCACAGGTAGATCCCCTGTACACCTTGCTTCGCTACCACAGGTAGGTACACTGTGGATGATAGGCTACACGAACACAGGTAGGTACACTGTGGATGATATGCTACACGAACACAGCTAGGTACACTGTGGATGATAGGCTACACGAACACAGGTAGGTACATTACACAGGTAGGTACACTGTGGATGATATGCTACACGAACACAGGTAGGTACACTGTGGATGATAGGCTACACGAACACAGGTAGGTACACTGTGGATGTTTCGCTACACGAACACAGGTAGGTACACTACACAGGTAGGTACACTGTGGGCGATAGGCTACACGAACACTGGTGGGTACATTGTGGGCGATAGGCTACACGAACACTGGTAGGTACACTACACAGGTAGGTACACTGTGGATGATATGCTTCGCGAACACAGGTAGGTACACTACACAGGTAGGTACACTGTGGATGATATGCTTCGCGAACACAGGTAGGTACACTACACAGGTAGGTTCACTGTGGATGATATGCTACACGAACACAGGTAGGTACACTGTGGATGATATGCTACACGAGCACAGGTAGGTACACTGTGGATGATATGCTACACGAGCACAGGTAGGTACACTACACATGTAGGTAAACTGTGGATGATATGCTACACGAACACAGGTAGGTACATGTTGGACGATATGCTACACAAACACGAAGACAATGAAGAGTAGTCTACCCTACAAAAGATATAGACAATGTCGAATATAGACAATGACAAACAATACCCGTCACATGCTGTGATACACTGGTGTAGAGTGGCCGACCCCAGGTAGTAACACACTATGTGTTACCCGACTACTGATGGGTTAGTGATGACTGTGTTTGTCGGCGACAGAAGGTATTGCATGGCTGGTGACAACAGTACCTGTACTACGTTTTATAGCTGAAGAACCATCATCAGGTGACACCTTGTCATCAATAAAACACCTTGTTATAACATAATAAACCCGGCAGGTTAATTCATGTATTTCCCTTTGTTTAGAGGTTGCAGGGAGGCGATACCGATCCTACGGCTGCTTCAAGTCAGCAGGCGGAAATGTCCTGCCAGAACTCCTTGTCAACCTGCGAGGCGACATTGACTGGAATGATCTCACCAAGACGCTGGATGCTTGTGCGCTTGCATCTGCCTCGACGAACAGGGAGTTTTTCGGGATACAGTTCTGGGCTGAATGCCACATTGGGAATGCCACCGAGGCCAACTTCCAGACCCCTGTGACCATCAGCGCATGCGCCACTGTGTGCCCGAATTCTGTTGCCGACGGTTCCTCTACACAGGTGTATCAGTGGATATAGCATGCACCTTGTACTTAACAACCTGACACCGTCGCCTTGTGTATCAGTGGATATGGCATGTACCTTGTACTTAACAACCTGACACCGTCGCCTTGTGTATCAATGGATGTAGCATGCACCTTGTACTTAACAACCTGACACCGTCGCCTTGTGCATCAGTGGATATAGCATGCACCTTGTACTTAACAACCTGACACCGTCGCCTTGTGTATCAGTGGATTTAGCATGCACCTTGTACTTAACAACCTGACACCGTCGCCTTGTGTATCAGTGGATATAGCATGCACCTTGTACTTAACAACCTGACACCGTCGCCTTGTGTATCAGTGGATATAGCATGCACCTTGTACTTAACAACCTGACACCGTCGCCTTGTGTATCAGTGGATAAAGCATGTACCCTTGTACTTAACCTGACACCGTCGCCTTGTGTATCAGTGGATATAGCATGTACCTTGTACTTAACCTGACACCGTCGCCTTGTGTATCAGTGGATATAGCTTGTACCTTCTACTTAACAACCTGACACCGTCGCCTTGTGTATCAGTAGATATAGCATGTACCTTGTACTTTACAACCTGACACCGTCGCCTTGTGTATCAGTGGATATAACATGTACCTTGTACTTAACAACCTGACATCGTGGCCTTGTGTATCAGTGGATATAGCATGCACCTTGTACTTAACAACCTGACACCGTCGCCTTGTGTATCAGTGGATTTAGCATGCACCTTGTACTTAACAACCTGACACCGTCGCCTTGTGTATCAGTGGATATAGCATGCACCTTGTACTTAACAACCTGACACCGTCGCCTTGTGTATCAGTGGATATAGCATGCACCTTGTACTTAACAACCTGACACCGTCGCCTTGTGTATCAGTGGATATAGCATGCACCTTGTACTTAACAACCTGACACCGTCGCCTTGTGTATCAGTGGATATAGCATGCACCTTGTACATGTACGTAACAACCTGACACCGTTATATGTAGCACTGATATAATACTATCATGTTGCATCTTTTATCAGTGGATATAACATATCACCTTGCATCATGAAGCATTGATACAATACTATCACGTTGCATCCTTGTGTCAGTGGATAAACATATCACTTTGCATCATGAAGCATTGATATAATACTATCACGTTGCATCTTGTATCAGTGGATATAACATATCACCTTGCATCATGAAGCATTTATACAATACTATCACGTTGCATCTTGTATCAGTGGATATAACATATCACCTTGCATCATGAAGCATTGATATAATACTATCACGTTGCATCTTGTATCAGTGGATATAACATATCACCTTGCATCATGAAGCATTGATATAATACTATCATGTTGTATCTTGTATCAGTGGATATAACATATCACCTTGCATCATGTAGCATTGATATAATACTATCACGTTGCATCTTGTATCAGTGGATATAACATATCACCTTGCATCATGAAGCATTGATATAATACTATCACGTTGCATCTTGTATCAGTTGATATAACATATCACCTTGCATCATGAAGCATTGATATAATACTATCACGTTGTATCTTGTATCAGTGGATATAACATATCACCTTGCATCATGAAGCATTTATACAATACTATCACGTTGCATCTTGTATCAGTGGATATAATATTATCACGTTTTATGACGTAGCAATGATATAATATGATCTCGTTGCATCGATAGCATGTAGCAATGATATAATATTATCACGTTGCATCGATATCATGTAGCAATGATAAAATATTATCGCGCTTATCATGCAGCAATGATATAATATGATCTCGTTGCATCGATATCATGTAGCAATGATATAATATTATCTCGTTGCATCATCTAGCAATGATATAATATGATCTCGTTTCATGTAGCAATGATATAACATGATCTCGTTGCATCATGTAGTGTAGTCACTTAATGTTCAACTGTCCATAACCTGTCAGGGAAACAATATCTAACAACGTCTAACATGACAATACCGTGCCAGTTTTGTTACTTAATTTTCCATTGTTATGATATTAAACTGTACATAATTTGTCAGTGTTATGAAATTCAACTGTACAGAACTTTTTTTTACAGAGGCTTACAGAGGCTTAATATTCAGTTGTGCAGAACGTGTGAATGGTATGATATAAGGGTGTCAGTAGATTGTCAGGGTAACATCGCTGAATTGTTATTTTCTTAATTGTTATATAATATTTTCTTTACAGACAGTACACATTGTTTTCCCTCTACTGTTATGTTTGTTATACGACATCGTTGTTTGTCATGTGTATTTGAAATTCCTAGGAATGTGACGATGGTAGATCTGTTTCAAAGTATCAGGAATTGGTATCGTTTTCAAGATGGGTGTGGTCAACTCACGCTTTACGAAAACAACCACAGTAAGGGACTATTCTTCCCAACGAGTTAACAATCACAGCAAGGGGCTATTCTTTCCAACGAGCTAACAATCACAGCAAGGGGCTATTCTTCCCCACAAGTTAACAATCACAGTAAGGGACTATTTTTCTCCGCACGCTAACAACCACAGGCTACTAGGGATTACTCTTCTACACGAGCTAACAATCACAGGGAACTAGGGACTGTTTTTCTCCAGGCGCTGTCAATCACAGGGCACGAGGGTCTATTCTGCCCCATGGGCTAACAATCACTGGGTACTAGGACATGGGAACAATAAAATGCTCTTCTTTGCCATATGTATTTTTGTTGTATTACCTGTTCTTAACACCGTCAGTTATTATCAATTGTTCCACAAGCATCGGTGCGGGATGAGAAGCAATCACCTTTCAACAAACCAATTCATGGTCGCAATTAAGTCCACTTCAAAGTGAGTGAGTGAGTTTGATTTTACGCCGCTTTAGCAATATTCCAGCAATATCACGGCGGGGGACACCAGAAATGGGCTTCACACATTGTATCCATGTCGGGAATCGAACCCGGGTCTTCGGCGTGACGAGCGAACGCTTTAACCACTAGGCTACCCTACCGCCCAAAACATTCAAAGATACGCCCTCGCCCACCAATATGAATCGCGGAAAGAGGATATCAAACATAATGCAGTCATCAAGTGTTTGATACTCATGACTTTCATATTTTGATTTATATATTATCTTGTTTTACTTGAGGGGTATATATGTCACGAACTTCAAATTACGAACACATGTCATTTCACGTCAGGGAGGGGACAGGACCCTTCAGGCGTTGCAGAATGTGACTTCGAGAACAAGCTGGCTGGAGTCAGTCGACGTAATTGCCCCGTTCCCGTCCCGACCTTCACACCCAGTAATTGGTCAGGGAGGAAATAACACAGTTATCCCTGCTAGGGCTTAAGTCGATTATATCATTAGGTCTGTATTACAACAATCAGGCGACTGTTTGCCTCTGTCTGACCTCTGCACGAGGCACGAACACGACGAAACAACTAGCTGAGATGGCATTAACAACTTCAAACGAATCTCTGCCGGTGCCGCGTGTAGAGCAAATTCAATTTGTTTTTGGAACTGAAAGCATATAGTGCTAGAGGTAATCATGAGCACATGGTCACATATGTATACCAGGAACGTGATGATATTACTTGTCCAGTCAAAGTATTGTACACCATGATGACATTACTTACTCGGTTAATGTAATCATACCGTGAACACACTGCGGGGATACACCACATGTTGTACGCCAGGAGCGTGGACATACTGTCAACAAAGACCATATATTGTATTCGCAGCGTGAAGATATTGTAAACCTAGACCATATATTGCATCACAGGAGCGTGAACATACTGCAAGCTTAGACCACATATTGTATTAGAAGCGTGAACATACTGCAAGCTTAGACCACATATTGTGTTTGGAGCGTGAACACACTGCAAGCTTAGACCATATTTTGTATTAGGAGCGAAAACATACTGCAAGCTTAGATCACATATTGTATTAGGAACGTGAACATACTGCAAACTTAGACCACATGTTGTATTAGAAGCGTGAACATACTGCAAGTTTAGACCATATATTGTATTAGGAGCGAAAACATACTGCAAGCTTAGACCCCATATTGTATTAAGAACATGAACACACTGCAAGCTCAGGCCTCATATTGTATTAGGAGCGTAATCATACTCCAAGCTAAGACCACTTATTGTAATAGGAACGTGAAAACACTGCAAGCTTAGACCACATGTTGTATCCTGGAAACATGAATATGCTTCAAGCAGAGACAACATATTGTATTAGGAGCGTTAACCCCAAGTTAAATTATGTGCTTTCATATATATTTATGTGTTCGCTGTCATTAGTATAGCAGATCTCATCCTGGAATTGCTATACTTATGACACATGTCAAATCATGTTTGGATATTATATACTTCTACCACATGTCACCTTGTACAGATTATCATAAACTTAAAATATACCATTTCCTAATTTCAAACACATCCATTCTAGAACAATGACGAGGTCGTAATCCCGACCATTCCGAACTTCTTGTCTATAAATCTCGCAATGTGTCAGTGATAAATACCGAGAATGTATACCAGTCCGAGGGAGTGTGTTTGCGTATTGACCCAGGTATAGTACTACTGGACAGCGCGCAGCTTTGCAATTAAGACGTAATGTAAACATCTGTACATCCCTGTGATATCTGCGAACAGTTAACATATACACCTTGACACTAGCAACGTGTGTATATCACCTGGGTAGCTCTCTCTAGGTACTGTGTGATATATACTGCCTGTGGGTTACTATGTGCTGGATACTGACCGTGGGATACTGTCTTGTAGATACTGCATGTGGGATGCTGTGGGGTACTGTGTGATATATACTGACTGTGGGAAACTGTGGGATAGATACTGCCTGTGAGATACTGTGTGATAGATACTGCCTGTGAGATACTGTGTGATAGATAGTGACTGTGAGATACTGTGTGATAGATACTGCCTCTGGGATGATGTTTGATAGATACTGACTGTGAGATACTGTGTGATAGATACTGACTGTGAGATACTGTGTGATAGATACTGACTGTGAGAAACTGTGTGATAGATACTGCCTCTGGGATGTTGTTTGATGGATACTGACTTATGATACTGTGTTACAGATAGGGACTGTGAGATACTGTGTGATAGAAACTAACTGTGGGATATTGTGTGACAGATACCGACTGTGATATCCTGTGAGAGATACTGTTTGATAGACACTGATTTTGAGATACTGTGTGATAGATACTGCTCGTGGGATATTGTGTTGTAGATACTGCCTGTGTGATACTGTGTGATAGGTACTGACTGTGAGATACTGTGTGATATATACTGACTGTGGAATACCGTGTGATAGGTACTGCCTGTGTGATACTGTGTGATAGTTACTGCCTGTGTGATACTGTGTGATAGATACTGTCTGTGAGATACAGTGTGTTAGATACTGCCTGTGAGATACTGTGTGATAGATACTGCCTGTGAGATACTGTGTGATAGATACTGCCTGTGAGATACTGTGTGATAGATAGTGACTGTGAGATACTGTGTGATAGATACTGCCTCTGGGATGATGTTTGATAGATACTGACTGTGAGATACTGTGTGATAGATACTGACTGTGAGATACTGTGTGATAGATACTGACTGTGAGAAACTGTGTGATAGATACTGCCTCTGGGATGTTGTTTGATGGATACTGACTTATGATACTGTGTTACAGATAGGGACTGTGAGATACTGTGTGATAGAAACTAACTGTGGGATATTGTGTGACAGATACCGACTGTGATATCCTGTGAGAGATACTGTTTGATAGACACTGATTTTGAGATACTGTGTGATAGATACTGCTCGTGGGATATTGTGTTGTAGATACTGCCTGTGTGATACTGTGTGATAGGTACTGACTGTGAGATACTGTGTGATATATACTGACTGTGGAATACCGTGTGATAGGTACTGCCTGTGTGATACTGTGTGATAGTTACTGCCTGTGTGATACTGTGTGATATCTACTGTCTGTGAGATACTGTGTGTTAGATACTGCCTGTGAGATACTGTGTGATAGATACTGCCTGTGAGATACTGTGTGATAGATACTGCCTGTGAGATACTGTGTGATAGGTACTGCCTGTGAGATACTGTGTGATAGTTACTGCCTGTGTGATACTGTGTGATAGATACTGCCTGTGAGATACTGTGTGATATATACTGCCTGTGAGATACTGTGTGATAGATACTGCCTTTGAGATACTGTGTGATAGATACTGCCTATAGGATACTGTGTGTTAGATACTGTCTGTGTGATACTGTGTGATATTGCTGACTGTGAGATACTGTGGGATAGATACTGACTGTGAGATACTGTGTGATAGATACTGACTGTGAGATACTGTGTGATAGATACTGCCTCTGGGATGATGTTTGATGGATACTGACTTATGATACTGTGCTACAGATAGGGACTGTGAGATACTGTTTGATAGAAACTCACTGTGGGATATTGTGTGACAGATACCGACTGTGATATCCTGTGAGATACTGTTTGATAGACACTGCTTTTGAGATACTGTGTAATAGATACTGCTTGTGGGATATTGTGTTGTAGATACTGCCTGTGGGATACTGTGGGATAGATACTGCCAGCGGGATAATGTGTGATAGTTACTGCCTGTGGGATAATGTGTGATAGTTACTGCCTGTGGGATACTGTGTTGTAGATACTGACTCTGAGATACTTTGAGATACTGTGTGATACGTACTGACCGTGGGATACTGTGTGATAGATACTGAGTGTGGGATACAGTGTGATAGACACTGACTATGAGATATTGTGTGATAGATACTGACTGTGGAATGATGTGTGATAGATACTGACTGTGGAATGCTTTTTTATGGATACTGACTATGAGATATTGTGTGATAGATTCTGACTGTGAGATACTGTGTGATGGATACTGACTGTGGGATAATGCGTGATACATACTGACTGTGACATATACTGTTGTAGATACTGACTGTGGGATACTGTGTGATAGATACTGACTGCGGGATACTGTGGGTACTGTGTGATAGATACTGACTGTAAGATACTGTGTTGTAGATACTGACTGTATGATACTGTGTGATGATACCGACTGTGAGATACTGTCTGATAGTTACTGACTGAGATAATGTGTGATAAATACTGACTGTGATATGCTGTGTGATAGCTACTGCCTGTGGCATACTGTGGGATATATATAGCCTGTGGGATACTGACTGTGAGATACTGTGTGATAGATACTGACTGTGTGATAAGATGGACATATAAAGTTTGTGGGATATATTGTGTGATGGACATTGCCTGGGATATATTGTGTGATTGACCCTAACTGGGATATATTGTGTGATTGACCCTAACTGGAATATATTGTGTGATGGACACTAACTGGATATATTGTGTGATGGACACCGACTGGGATATACTGTGTGATGGACACTGACTGGAATATACTGTGTGATGGACACTGACTGGAATATACTGTGTGATGGACACTGACTGGGGTATATTGTGTGATGGATACTGACTGGGATATATTGTGTGATGGATACTGACCGGAGTATATTGTGTGATGGATACTGACTGGGATATATTGTGTGATGGATACTGACTGGGGTATATAGTGTGATGGACACTGACTGGGATATATTGTGTGATGGACACAGACTTGGATATATTGTGTGATGGACACTGACTGGGGTATATTGTGTGATGGACTCTGACTGGGATATATTGTGTGATGGATACTGACGGATATATTGTGTGATGGACACTGACTGGGATATATTGTGTGATGGACACTGACTGGGATATATTGTGTGATGGACACTGGCCGGGGTATATTGTGTGATGGACACTGACTGGGGTATATTGTGTGATGGATACTGACTGGGGTATATTGTGTGATGGATACTGACTGGGGTACATTGTGTGATGGACACTGACTGGGATATATTGTGTGATGGACACTGACTGGGATATATTGTGAAATGGACACTGACTGGTATATATTGTGTGATGGATACTGACTGTGGTATATTGTGTGATGGATACTGACTGGGGTATATTGTGTGATGGATACTGACTGAGGTATATTGTGTGATAGATACCAGCAGAAGACAGAATGTGATAGTTACTGGTGAACGTTGTGAAATACGTCGTGCTAGACGCTATCTGGCAGACCTCTGTGGTCTTCACCAACTGTCAGTCACTAAACTAATTGCGTGCTTACTGTAACAGATACACTAATCAGACTCTCTTCAGCGCTGCCATCGGCATCAGGAGCTGGCGGCGACATCAGCAGCAGAAGCTGGTAGCGGCGACGGCGCGTTGCTACTGTGTTGGGTAACACTGACTGCCGGAATCTACACTCTGGAAAGGAGACTAGCACCACGCGACAAGGCAGCACCCCTTCTCACATTTAGGCGGCGGCACAGTCAGAGTAATGACGATGTAGTTAGCACGTGCCTGGACAAGCCCCGTAGGTCCTCTTCATGTTGTTCCTGGTTCATGTGTGCTATGTGTGATTTGTGATACCTGGAATGACGACACTCGCAGAGCGAGATTAGAATGAAGGGATGGGAGACCAACAATGACGTGTAACAATTCTTCCTTGCGTTGTGAATCAAAGAACCACATCCTGGATCGGTCATCAACGTCACCCCACCCCTCCCCCGAGCCCCTCCACGGGGATGATGCACCACTAAGCAACATGATCTACGGAGCAATCAGATACCATGTACAACTTGGCGAAACAACTTCAGATTGTTTGTGTTGCTACACTATCAGTGATTACACAGTTAGCGTTATTAAGCAGTTTATTGGCTTAGTCTGATATTCCACACAGGGAAGGTCTTCAGTAATAGGATTTACTGCTTGTTTAACAAGGAATTGAGGCCATTCTCTTGGTGGTCCACAACGCACCAACTACAACGACGACATGTTGACCACACTCGTGCACCTCCTCAGTGACCACTGGGCAAGCACAGCCGCTCTGATCCTCTTAGCAGTGGTGCTGTTGACATCGTCCCGACATGCCAGTCCCCTACCTCCAGGCCCGGCTCCTATTCCCTTTCTAGGCACCATCAGTCTTCTCGGAGGTGGAGACAAACGAAGGGTTTTTAAGGAGATGAGAGAACGTTACGGGGACGTGTTCAGCTTCTACATCGGCTCCCGTCTCATCGTCGTCATCAATGGTTTCGATGCCTTGAAGGAGGCCTTCGTGAAACGGGGGGATGTTTTCTCTGACCGCCCTCACGTGTTCACCGTGGACAAGGTGGGACAAGGCCGAGGTAAGTGACTTACTGTAAATGAAAAACCAAGTAGTGGAATTACTATGTCTCATCAATCCATAGCAATCCATCACTGGTTAAGGTGAGTGGACGAATTTTGTTTCGCGCCGCAGTAAGAAATAATCAAGTTTTATCATCCAAAACTCCCACGGGAGATATCGCTTGGATGAGATCAAGTGATATCTACATTGTAGATATCGCTGCAATGAAATGGCATCACAATGCTTTGCAGACCATTGTGACGTCATTGGTTACATGACGTCACAATCAAATATAATCACTAATGGCTCTGCTAGTGAAGCTAACAGCAGTACTTTTTACACTTAAGACACTGCTTTGTACGGTCTACAAACAAAAAGTTGGAAGAATGATGTTGGATGATATATAAAATCTCACCCTCGTATCTTTTGATATCAAACATATCAACACTCGTTGATAAAAGTGGAAAAACTCCTCGGCAAAGCTCGGAGGTTTTCCACTTTTATCATCTCGTGTTGATGTATCTGATTTCATAGACACTCAGGTGAGATTCTCTATTTGTCACGCTGGATTACATGTGAGATGTCATCACCTACACTGTTACCATCCCTGTGGGGAATACGTGGCACAATTTAGTCACTGATAGTTTAGGGCTGTCGAAAGAGTCAAGAATGAAACATAACTTGGACCGTTGCTTGTATTAGCCAACAGTGGTTTCCCTGTGCCAAACGTTTACAGGACGTCTTACTATAGCTAGAAATTGACTGCGGCGTAAAACAACATTCCTTTCGCTTACCCCAAGACCCGTGAAGATTCCGGGGTAGAATAGGTCTTAAGCAACCCATGCTTGCCGTAAAAGGCGACTATGCTTGTCATAAAAGGCGAATAACGGGATCGGATGGTCAGTCTCGCTGACTTGGTTGATACATGTCATCGATCCCAATCGATGCGCATGATGTCAATCACTGGATTGTCTGGTCCAGACTCGATTATATAGCCCGTCATATAGCCGGAATATTGCTGAGTGCGGCATTAAACAACAAGCAAACAAACAAACAAACAAACAAACACTTACCTCGAGAAGGCGTTGACTGCTCTCCCGACACTACAGCCATCGTGTGAAATCAGTCAATATGTAAAATAACTGACATTTTCGCTAAGGCAATTTACAAAATATTTCAGTCGTTTTATAAACAGATTGTGAGAATGACTAAAAGTAATTCAGAACTTCAAAATGGTTGAAAACATCCCAATAGACTATTTATGCTATGTTTAGAAGCCAATTTTTAAAACATACATACACGAGGTTTAGCATCGATGAGGGTATCAGATACAATCATAATTGTGTGAACGGGGTTTAGTGTAGGTGGAAGGTATCAGATACAGTCATAATTGTGTGTACAGGCTTTAGTGTAGGCGTGAAGTATTAGATGCAGTCATAATTGTGTGAACGGGGTTAAGCGGAGGTGTGAGGTATCAGATATAATCATAGTTGTGTGTACACGGTTTAGTATGGGTGTGAGGTATCAGATATAATCATAGTTGTGTGTACACGGTTTAGTATGGGTGTGAGGTATCAGATATAATCATGGTTGTGTGTACGGGGTTTAGTGTAGGTGTGAGGTATCAGATATAATCATAGTTGTGTGTAGAGGGTTTAGTATGGGTGTGAGGTATCAGATATGATCATAGTTGTGTTTACACGGTTTAGTATGGGTGTGAGGTATCAGATATAATCATAGTTGTGTTTACACGGTTTAGTATGGGTGTGAGGTATCAGATATAATCATAGTTTTGTGTACGGGGTTTAGTGTAGGTGTGAGGTATCGGATATAATCATAGTTGTGTGTACACGGTTTAGTATGGGTGTGAGGTATCAGATATAATCATAGTTGTGTGTACACGGTTTAGTATTGGTGTGAGGTATCAGATATAATCATAGTTGTGTGTACACGGTTTAGTATGGGTGTGAGGTATCAGATATAATCATAGTTGTGTGTACACGGTTTAGTATGGGTGTGAGGTATCAGATATAATCATGGTTGTGTGTACACGGTTTAGTATAGGTGTGAGGTATCAGATATAATCATAGTTGTGTGTACACGGTTTAGTATAGGTGTGAGGTATCAGATATAATCATAGTTGTGTGTACACGGTTTAGTATGGGTGTGAGGTATCAGATATAATCATAGTTGTGTGTACACGGTTTAGTATGGGTGTGGGGTATCAGATATAATCATAGTTGTGTGTACACGGTTTAGTATGGGTGTGGGGTATCAGATATAATCATGGTTGTGTGTACACGGTTTAGTATAGGTGTGAGGTATCAGATATAATCATAGTTGTGTGTACACGGTTTAGTATGGGTGTGAGGTATCAGATATAATCATAGTTGTGTGTACACGGTTTAGTATAGGTGTGAGGTATCAGATATAATCATAGTTGTGTGTACACGGTTTAGTATGGGTGTGAGGTATCAGATATAATCATAGTTGTGTGTACACGGTTTAGTATGGGTGTGGGGTATCAGATATAATCATAGTTGTGTGTACACGGTTTAGTATGGGTGTGGGGTATCAGATATAATCATGGTTGTGTGTACACGGTTTAGTATGGGTGTGGGGTATCAGATATACATATGGTTGTGTGAACGGGGTTTAGTGTAGGTGTGAGGTATCAGATATACATATAGTTGTGTGTACGGGGTTTAGCAGAGTACAGGGTTTAGTACAGGTGTGGGGTATCAGATATATAGACATAGTTGTGTGTATGGGATTAAGTATAGGTGTGGGGTATCAGATATATAGACATAGTTGTGTGTACAGGGTTTAGTATGGGTGTGAGGTATCAGATATAATCATAGTTGTGTGTACACGGTTTAGTATGGGTGTGAGGTATCAGATATAATCATGGTTGTGTGTACACGGTTTAGTATAGGTGTGAGGTATCAGATATAATCATAGTTGTGTGTACACGGTTTAGTATAGGTGTGAGGTATCAGATATAATCATAGTTGTGTGTACACGGTTTAGTATGGGTGTGAGGTATCAGATATAATCATAGTTGTGTGTACACGGTTTAGTATGGGTGTGGGGTATCAGATATAATCATAGTTGTGTGTACACGGTTTAGTATGGGTGTGGGGTATCAGATATAATCATGGTTGTGTGTACACGGTTTAGTATAGGTGTGAGGTATCAGATATAATCATAGTTGTGTGTACACGGTTTAGTATGGGTGTGAGGTATCAGATATAATCATAGTTGTGTGTACACGGTTTAGTATAGGTGTGAGGTATCAGATATAATCATAGTTGTGTGTACACGGTTTAGTATGGGTGTGAGGTATCAGATATAATCATAGTTGTGTGTACACGGTTTAGTATGGGTGTGGGGTATCAGATATAATCATAGTTGTGTGTACACGGTTTAGTATGGGTGTGGGGTATCAGATATAATCATGGTTGTGTGTACACGGTTTAGTATGGGTGTGGGGTATCAGATATACATATGGTTGTGTGAACGGGGTTTAGTGTAGGTGTGAGGTATCAGATATACATATAGTTGTGTGTACGGGGTTTAGCAGAGTACAGGGTTTAGTACAGGTGTGGGGTATCAGATATATAGACATAGTTGTGTGTATGGGATTAAGTATAGGTGTGGGGTATCAGATATATAGACATAGTTGTGTGTACAGGGTTTAGTATAGGTGTGAGGTATCAGATTTATACACGTAGTTGTGTGTACATGGTTTAGTATAGGTGTGGGGTATCAGATATATAGACATAGTTGTGTGTATGGGATTAAGTATAGGTGTGAGGTATCAGATATATAGACATAGTTGTGTGTACAGGGTTTATTAGGTGTGAGGTATCAGATATATAGACATAGTTGTGTGTACAGGGTTTAATATAGGTGTGAGGTATCAGATATATAGACATAGTTGTGTGTAGAGGGTTTAGTACAGGTGTGAGGTATCATATATATAGACATAGTTGTGTGTTCACGGTTTAGTTTACGTGTGAGATATCGGATATATAGACATATTTGTGTGTATGGGATTAAGTATAGGTGTGAGGTATCAGATATATAGACATAGTTGTGTGTACAGGGTTTAGTACAGGTGTGGGGTATCATATATATAGACATAGTTGTATGTATGGGGTTTGGTATAGGTGTGAGGTATCAGATATATAGACATAGTTGTGTGTATGGGATTAAGTATAGGTGTGGGGTATCATATATATAGACATAGTTGTGTGTATGGGATTAAGTATAGGTGTGGGGTATCAGATATATAGACATAGTTATGTGTACACGGTTTGGTATAGGTGTGAGGTATCAGATATACAGACATAGTTGTGTGTACACGGTTTAGTTTAGGTCTGAGGTATCAGATATATAGACATAGTTGTGTGTATAGGATTAAGTATAGGGGTGGGGTATCAGATATATAGACATAGTTGTGTGTACACGGTTTGGTATAGATGTGAGGTATCATATATATAGACATAGTTGTGTGTACGGGGTTTGGTATAGGTGTGAGGTATCAGATATACAGACATAGTTGTATGTATGGGATTAAGTATAGGTGAGGGGTATCAGATATATAGACATAGTTGTGTGTACACGGTTTGGTATAGGTGTGGGGTATCATATATATAGACATAGTTGTGTGTACGGGGTTTGGTATAGGTGTGGGGTATCATATATATAGACATAGTTGTGTGTACACGGTTTGGTATAGGTGTGAGGTATCAGATATATAGACATAGTTGTGTGTATGGGATTAAGTATAGGTGTGGGGTATCAGATATATAGACATAGTTGTGTGTACACGGTTTGGTATAGATGTGAGGTATCAGATATATAGACATAGTTGTGTGTACACGGTTTGGTATAGATGTGAGGTATCAGATATATAGACATAGTTGTGTGTATGGGATTAAGTATAGGTGTGGGGTATCAGATATATAGACATAGTTGTGTGTACACGGTTTAGTTTAGGTGTGAGGTATCAGATCAGTGAACGTTGTGCGTACACGGTTAAGTATAGGTGTGAGTTATCAGATTTAATTATAGTTGTGTGTACACGGTTTAGTATAGGTGTGAGGTATCAGATCAGTAAACGTTGTGTGTGATGGGTTCAGTGTAGTTGTGAGGTATCAGATGCAGTCACAGTTGTGTACAGGGTTTAGTATAGGCGTGAGGTATCAGATACAGTCGTAGCTATGTGTACACGGTTTAGTATTGGTGTGAGGCATCACAAACAATCACAGTTGTGTGTACACGGTTTAGTATAGGTGTGAGGTATCAGATATAAATAATAGTTGTGTGTACACGGTTTAGTATAGGTGTGAGGTATCAGATGAATGAACGTTGTGTGTGATGGGTTTAGTTTAGGTGTGAGGTATCCGATACAGTCGTAGTTTTTTGTACGGGGTAAGTATAGGTGTGATGTATCAAATAGGGGTGGCCGGGGAAGGCGGATAGGCATTGGGTGGGGATGAGATCGGTGTCTTTGTGATAGGGATGGTGGAGGGGAAGTAACTTTTTGTAGTTTTTATGTGGTTTTAGGGGGTTTGGTGTTTTGTGCGGGGTTGAGTTAGTGAGATTGTGGTGGAGTGGAGATTGTATGTTTAATAGTGTGGAAATGTTGGCGTTGACGGGGATGGAGGGTGCGAGGGGGTCGTGATTGTTTGCGGTGAGCATGAAGATAGTGGAGGGACTTTGCTTGTTGGGCATAGTCGTGGAAACGCTTGTGTGTAGTGGGATATTATTATTATTATTAGTAGTAGTAGTAGTAGTAGTAGTAGTAGTAGTAGTAGTAGTAGTAGTAGTAGTAGTAGTAGTAGTAGTAGTATATCGGGAAAAACTATTAAAATTTAATAGATTCCTGACAAAATTTTGATAATAAGAAACCAACAAATATAAAAATTAATCAATGCGCAATATTCTTCCTAAGTCTTCACAACGAAAAGGCAATATTGTATATATGTAATGAATCGACATAATATATTGTCAGATTCTCAATGTGCAGAACGCAAGTTACAAACGTTGGTTGAATGTTTGATCAAGAAATATGGAGTAGGTTCCATTTAAAACCCATCAACGTCGTAACACCAGACTCCTCCCGGTAAAAAACGTTGGTTAAATGTTTGATCAAGAAACAGGAATGAGTTCCATATAAGTCCCCATCAACTCCCTTACAACAGACTCGTCTTCGTACAAACGTTGGTTAAATGTTTGATCAAGAAACATGGAGCGGGTTCCATGTACGTCCCCATCAACGTCGTAACATCATCGTGCTGATAGGGTCGTCGCAACGTGACCTGGCTGCATCATCATACCCCCGACGCCCTCGATCGCTGCTCATCAACCACAGGTTTACATGACTTGATTATTTACAGTCGAACGTGACTGACTGCGGCGTAAAGCAACATTCACCCAGTCACCCCAGAATCCAAAAGGCCACCCTCAGGATGTTCACTCATATGGGATGTCTCCAAACACAAGCAGGGAAAATAACGCCCTGGATTGTCAGCTATGAATGCATGTATCCGAGTTCAAATCGACACGTGATTACGTATGATGCGGAATTCATGAGCGACATGACCCCTTGTTAACCTCCTATCCCTTATCAAACCACAGACCGCGCCAGCGTCTATGTTCCACATGTTGTATTGACTCGTGCAGGAGACCACGATGGTAACCCTTGGAATTAGAGATCTACCAACAGTCGTTGTAGCGATGCAGCCTGCACTGTTCTTGCTTGTATTTCACCGCCTCATTCCACACCGACACCGTTTAGATGCCACGATGAGGGAAAAAGGGGTAAGTGATACCAGGCTGTACATACCTGGTCAGCTTGACATGCTGGGGAGCGTATAATGCATGTAGATAATTGACAGAAATGTTATACTTGTGTTGAAAAACATATCTCTGACAGACAGAGTTCACGGTTTAACGAAAACAGAGGCATTCAGCTGCCAAATGACAGACAGTGCCTTTGTTACTGGTTATGGGTGGTAACGAGCCACGCCTTCGTGCTTATAACAACATAACAGGGAGGCACCTTCACCCTTGCGCCTGAGTGAGTGAATGAATGTTTCATAACGCCGCAGTCTTCAATATTTAAAGGCTTGTAACGCAAACATTTTAAACTTGAGAGATACGGTCACATGTAACCAGTTATGGATATAACGAGCACAACGTCGAGGACGAATTCAGCAACGGTCACTTTAAATAACTACCCCCTCCCCCCAAAAAAAACAACAACAAACAAATCCAAACAAAAAACAAAAACAACAAAACTATACACTTACCACAAGCAAATACATTTAATTTAAATAAACAGATTCCACTCATACCTCGGCTGCCTGTTACATACCGGTTGCATCCAGTCTTGTTATCTCGTCACACATACTCGTCAAAGAGACGTCATACGGTCGTACACGCGTTATACAACGTCATACACACGGCATAAAGATTGCACACGTTATAAAGACGCCATTTCGTTATTCACACGCCAAAAAGACGTCATATCGTCTCATTCACATGCCCAAGAGACGTCATACGGTCGTACACGCGTTATACAACGTCATAAACACGTCATAAAGATTGCACACGTTATAAAGACGCCATATCGTTATTCACACGCCAAAAAGACGTCATATCGCCTCATTCACTTGTCCAACAGACGTCTACGGTCGTACACGCGTTATAAAGACGTCAGCAGAGCGTTATAAACCTCTAACACACGTCATAAAGACGTCATAACTTAATACATATGTTATATAGACGTAATATTATTATTCCCATGTTATACACATAATATATCCTCAGATGTCATACAGATATCATATAGTCATACACACGTCATATCACAGTCGTCACGAAATTTCGGCATGCACACAATATAAACATTCCATTACGTCATACATATATATTCCCGTCATACACGGGTCAGACAAATGTGCAATGCCGTCATGTATACTTACCATACGTCAGAAATAGTACATCACGTCATACATACCTTTTGTTTGTTTGTTGTTTAACGCCGCACGCAGCTAGATGACTGTAAATATCCAGTAAATAAACGAGTCTGGACCAGACACTCCAGTGATTGACATCATGAACATCGATCCACGCAACTGGGATACGATGACATGCATCAACCAAGTTAGCGAGCCTGACCACCTGATCCCGTAAGTCGCCTCTAACGACAAGCATAGTCGCCTTTTACGGCAAGCATGGGTTGATGCTGGCCTTTTCGAACCTGGATCTTCACGGTTTCATACAAAGGTAACCTTGCCATACAGACGTCGTCCGAGAGGCGGTGGATATTTAACTTCATATAACAAGGTAAATGTTGTTTATTTGTGTGTGCAACAATGATTATTAAAACAAATTGGATAATGTAATGTTTTAATTCATTAACCATTCGAGATTCGTTGAATGACTGATTCGCTTCGCATATACCCATACAAGAAAACACATACAAAATATCAGTACACAAATTCTTTTGCAAACTCGCCGTAATACGCAGGCATACACCTAAATAACCTACTGCTACATAGAATGAACAGTAGGCTTAAGTATAGGGCCGTGCAGTATTCCAATGACAATGAAGCAGAAATACTATGCCCTGGAGCCTTGAAACGTTTCAAAATGAAGAGATATAGGCAGCTTTTGAATCTGCAAAGTCGGTTTTCGAGTTTAGATCTTTGAATTAGTTTTCGCCATAGGTTACCAACGAAACCCGATTTAGTTCAGTTTGTTTGTTGTTTTACGCCGCACTCAGCACTATGCCAACTTTATGACGGCGGACTGAAAATAGCTGAGGTGAAATTGGGTTTAACGTCGCGTCCAAGATTATTGCACTTATATAGCGACGTGCATGCACGTGTATGTGTGTGTGTGGCTGCTTGTACTAGTCCGGACTGATGCCGATTTATAGTGCTAGCTCACTGAGATACCATGCCGCAGTTTAACATGAATACCCCACTCAGACACAGTATACTGAATCCGAGCCGACCAGTCCTTGTTTTAGCCCCTTAATGCCGAGCGCCAGACAGGGTAACAACAAGTACAATCTTTTAACGTCTTTTTGTATGACGCGGCCCGGGATCGAACCCCGGACCTTCCGCTCTCCGTGCGGACGCTCTACCACAAGACCACGGAGGCGGTCCGGACTGAAAATAATCGAGTCTGGATTATTATTAACATCATTAGCATCGATCTACGCAATGGGGATACGATGACATGCATGAACCAAGCCAGCGAGCCTGTCCACCCGATCCCGTTAGTCGCCTCTCACCTAGTATCTAGGTGTCATGTCCACCATCTAGAGAGCAGGTGATGAATGTACGAGACGTTTGTGATAAATGTCCTCTGGCTCATCCCAGATTGGGATCCCCCACCTCCACCCCCTCCTCATTTTTAAGGCCACGTTAAATCTGGGATCCGATAACGGAAACGGTTCAAATTTGAAGATACAGATCCCTATACCACCCTAAGGCCCACCTTCTCCTACCATCATTTAAAGGTACAGGATTGCTATGTTACCATCAGTTAACGTTGTGTTTGTCTGCAGGTATTGTGAACACGTCAGGCAAAGTATGGAAGGAACAACGCCGCTTCGCTCTCGCCGCGCTGAAACAGTTCGGCTTCGGCAAAGCATCCTTTGAGGAAAAGGTTCAGGAGGAGGTGGCAGCATTTGTTGCCGTGCTCGATCAACACGCCGGGGATGATGTCGACCCGCAGAACATAATCCAGACTGCCATTGCTAATGTCATATCGTCCATAGTGTTTGGGAAAAGATTCAGTTATGATGACCCGCTGTTTAAAAAGTTCCTGGAAATATTTGACGAGAACATGAAACTTGTTGGAGGAACCTCCATACTAAACTTTTTCCCGATATTACAGTATTTGCCTGGTGACATTTTCAAGTTCAACAAAGTCCTTAGGAACGTGGACTTTGTGCAGAAATTCATCCGCAACACTGTGCAGAGACACATCGAGAACCTGGACACGCTCCACGTCCGGGACTTTGTTGACGCCTACCTGAAAGAAATGCAGGAGGAGGCAGATGATCCTGAAACAACACTCAACTGTGAGTAGACGTATATTCAGCTGTGAGTAGACGAAGACTCAACCGTGAGTAGACGTAAACTCATCCGTGAATAGACGTAGACTCAACTGTGAGTAGACGTAGATTCAGCTGTCCGTAGACGTAGACTTAACTGTGAGTAGGCGTAGACTCAACTGTGAGTAGACGTAGATTCAGCTGTCCGTAGACGTAGACTCAACTGTGAGTAGACGTAGATTCAGCTGTGAGTAGACGTAGATCCAGCTGTGAGTAGACGTAGATTCAACTGTGAGTAGACGTAGACTCAACTGTGAGTAGACGTAGATTCAGCTGTGATTAGACGTAGATTCAACTGTGAGTAGACGTAGACTCAACTGTGAGTAGACGTAGATTCAACTTTGAGAAGAAGGAGATTGAACTGTGAGTAGACGTAGACTCAACTGTGAGTAGACGTAGATTCAGCTGTGATTAGACGTAGATTCAACTGTGAGTAGACGTAGACTCAACTGTGAGTAGACGTAGACTTAACTGTGAGTAGACGTAGATTCAGCTGTGAGTAGACGTAGATTCAACTGTGAGTAGACGTAGACTCAACTGTGAGTAGACGTAGATTCAGCTGTGATTAGACGTAGATTCAACTGTAAGTAGACGTAGATTCAACTGTGAGTAGACGTAGATTCAACTTTGAGAAGAAGGAGATTGAACTGTGAGTAGACGTAGACTCAACTGTGAGTAGATGTAGATTCAGCTGTGGGTAGACGTAGACTCAACTGTGATTAGACGTAGACTCAACTGTGAGTAGACGTAGATTCAATTTTGAGAAGAAGGAGATTGAACTGTGAGTAGACGTAGACTCAACTAAGAGTAGATATAGATGAGCTAAGTAGATGTAGATACAGCTGTGAGTAGACGTAGACTCAAGTAGGTGACGACACTAGCATTATAAGATGGACATGTAAACCTTCCACAGACATAGACAGAGCCTGAAGATAATGTTTCTACTTGCATTCCTACGCAATCACTGCTCACTACATTACTGAATAACATCTCTATGTCTCAAGGATACATGAGAACATATGTTTCTATTTGCCGTGAACGTATTTCCTTCTGTAGTTAATACTTAATATGATCAAATTGTTACTGACCGCCGCCATATAGCTGGAATATTGCTCCAGTGCGGCTTTAAACAACAAACAAACACTCAAAACAGAAGAGACATGTACTCTACATTGTCTATAAGCATCACCCTAAATTATTTGTTCTTTCTTTTCAGACGACCAGTTGGTCAAAGTGATCGGTGACTTATTTGTGGGTGGCACGGAGACAACTTCCACAACCATCCGATGGGCAATCATCTTCCTTGTGCGCAATCCGGAAGTTCAGCAGCGCATGCGTGATGAGATAGACCGTCACGTGGAGCGTGCAAGACATCCGAGTGTTTCCGACAAGCCCAACTTGCCCTACACCGAGGCCACGATCCTTGAGATCCAGCGGTGTGCCGACATTGCCCCCTTCTCCGTGGCTCACGGCACCTTACAGGATGTCACGTTCAGGAACTTTCTAGTACCTCGGAACAGCATCGTTATCCCAAACATTCACTCAGTACTAACCGACCCGGATCTGTGGCTCAACCCTTCCGACTTCCGGCCTGAGCGGTTCCTTGATGACGCCGGCAGTGTCACCAAACCGGAGCAGTTCATTCCATTCTTCATGGGTAGGTATAGACTAACAGAAACTTAACTAGGATTCGAACCCACAATCATGGGTTCCTGGTATCCCTAACGAACGCAACTCTGCTCTTATAAAACTGAACTAAAGCAGTTAGAAAAACTTGAAGTTGACTCTTGAATCAAACTTGCCAGTACAGCCACTTTGCACAAACCTAGCACCCCTTTAAGTAAACAGGCTGTCGACAGTAGGGCTAAATAAGCTGGGTCTCCATTCTAAACCGTTACATCCTGGTGGAAACCGTGAAGATCCGGGGTAGAATAGGTCTTCAGCAACCCATGCTTGCCGTAATAGGCGACTATGCTTGTCGTAAGAGGCGACTAACGGGATAGGGTGGTCAGGCTCGCTGACTTGGTTGATGCATGTCATCGTATCCCAATTGCGTGGATCGATGCTCATGATGTCAATCACTGGATTGCCTGGTCCATACTCGATTATTTACAGACCGCCGTGTTTAAGCTGGAATTTTGCTGAGTGCGGCGTTTAACAACAAACAAACAAACAAACAAACATCGTGATCGATGGAATTCCTTAAATAAAGTTGTTCTGATCGGTCGAAAAACGCTCGAGTGTATACCATCCAAATCGGCAATTAGTTGGCCAGACACAGTAGCCTCTTGGGCTGTACTTTGTTAGGGTTGGAATACAACAGTGAATGGTGATTGGAGACCCAATTTACATACATCGTTGTATAAACCTAGCACCCCTTTAAGTAAACAGAAAGCATGTTGCACATCAGGCTGTCGACAGTAGGGCTAAATTAGCTGGGTCTCCCCGAGGAGCACCTTCATTATTGATGCACTGAACACAAATACAGCAAGTTTTCATAATTGATGTTCACCACTCGTTAAACAGCGCAAAGCTTTCAACGCATTGATCGACGAACATGTACCTTGGAATATATCAGTGACATCGCTGAGGTTGAGATGTTGTGAACGACGTGACCACAGCAGCAAGTGTCCCTGCATGGTTTATGGATGAGCAGCTTATTGACATTGTTCGTCTTGTATTCAGGATGCTAGGTGGTATACAACAGTTATCTGAATCCACTATGGTTTATGTAAATACATGTATGTATGTTTGGGCAGTTTTAAAATTTAACTGTTCTGTGTTATTTAAAAAAAATTTGCAAGAAATAAGGAGAATTGTCATGGAGACAAGAGTAAGTTTAGAAACATTGACAAGTGTTAGCTGAGTTGTTGTGATATGACAAGACCAACAACACCTGCACGCAATTGGGATCGATGACATGCATCAACCAAGTCAGCGAGCCTGACCACCCGATCCCGTTAGTCGCCTTTTACGACAAGCTTACTTAGTTGATGCATGTCACCGTATCCCAATTTCGTGGATTGATGCTCATGATGTCAATCACTGGATTGTCTGGTCCAGACTCGATTATTTACAGACCGTGGTCAAATAGCTGGAATATATTGCTGAGTGCGACGTTGAACAACAAACAAACAAATCAAAGCGGCGACAAACCCAACTTACTCACTTACTATCATTCTGAATGCTTGACATTTTTCTTTGCATTCCGAGGGGGTACGGATGGTTCAGTCGTCTAAGGCGCCGCGATTCGCTGTGCAGAGTTGCGTCCCTTGGGCACACCAGAAACCTACGATTGTGGGTTCGAATCCCGGTTCGCCCCGATTATGTTTCTAGGTTTGTCAGCACCATACCCGTGCTCGTGGGTTTCACCGAAGTGGTAAACGTCTGAGACCTGCATCACTTCGGGCTTTCCTCCCACATTAAGCTGACACGCCGTGATATAACTGGAATACTGTTAAAAGCGGCGTTAAACCTAACTCCCTCACTCCCTCACTCCCTTTTTGAATCCCGAACGACGCACGTGTTCCACGAGGAAAGGCCGTTTACGGTGTCACATGTCGTTGTTGTCGAGGAGATAATTTATTTCCTTTGAGATTTTCTATACAGTCCCAGAGGAATATACATTCAGAGCGAGTGACGAATGCTCTTTTAAGTCTGGCATACATAGAGCCAGAGGACTTGAGGAATGAAAGCTGCCGTTCACACGAGACAACACTGTGACCCAGTTGTAAATGTCAACCGCATACGATAGTCCTGTAATGGACATATGCACACTTGACCTTCACATTTGAAGGATATGCTGCAGATTTAGTTCTTCGTGTATTCGTGGCTCTTGAAACATCGACATCACTGACATTTACATACAACAGCACTAGCATATAATATTTAACATAATAAGGAACAAATAACATGTAATAGCATTGCTCTGCAGACATAAGTGATTATACATCACACATAATGGGGAATCCATGATATGTGGTTGGTGTGTAATTACTTGTACGTACAACAGATTCCTCTCATGTCAGACTGGATCAGGGCATTGTTCCACAAAGCGATCTTAGCGCTACGACTATCATAAGCCAGTGTTAGAGTATGGGAGTTACGATCACCTTAGCGCTAAGATGGCTTTGTGGAACGGGGCCCTGGACTCATTCATACAGATCGTTGTGTATGTAAGCTTCCAGTTAACCATTATGAAGACGTCACGCTATTGTTCTTACAGCTGATTCTGAGCTAGGAATTCACTGGCCATTCTGAACCGTTACATCCTGATCGAACCCGTGAAGATCAGGTAGAATGGGTCTTCAGCAACCCATGCTTGCCGTAGGAGGCGACTATGCTTGTCGTAAGAGGCGACTAACGGGATCGGGTGGTCAGGCTCGCTGACTTGGTTGATGCATGTCATCGTATCCCAATTGCGTGGATCGATGCTCATGATGTTATTCACTAGATTGTCGGGTCCATACTCGATTATTTACAGAGTGTGGCGTTAAACAACAAACAAACAAACAAACAAACATCGTGATCGGTGGAATTCCTTAAATAAAGTTGTTCTGATCGGTCGAAAAACGTTCGAGTGTATTCCATCCAAATCGGCAATTAGTTGGCCAGACACAGTAGCCTCCTGGGCTGTACTTTGTTAGGGTTGATAGACATACATACATCGTTGTATATAGTGTAATATGTTTTTCTTTTACAATTAATATATTCTATTATATACAAAATCACTACGTTTTGCACCAAATGTAAACTGAGGGGCAAAGTAAGAATACCGAGTTTTTTTATGACTTAAAAATTGAAATAACTTTTGTTCAATTTGATGATGTTTATTTATCCATCACTCATTCCTGCAACAAAGTAATCTGTGGCTGGGTAATTTAGCGCAGCAATAAATGGGTTCAATGAAGACTGGGTAAGAAATGAATTTGCAACCACATGACCTCTACCATGTTTAAAATGTTGTACATTTGTGCCGAAAAAATATATTTTATTGATTTTTTTTTTCAAAGATAACATGTCTAAGATACCCATCATCAGTTGTACCAAATACAGTTCTACTTAAAAAATACCCACCACCCAAATTCGACGTTCTTGCAACAGATCGCTGCGCATGATATTATGCAACATATACAAAATTCCGAATTTGTTACAGGTTTCCCATCTTCCCGAGACAAGCGTGTCCACTAGCCAATATCAAAGCCTAGTTTCAACCCTTGCCACATCAAGGCCACTTATCTTGGCTCTACCCTGGCGCCACCTCGCGAATATACCCCTTGTTATGAAACGCGATATCCAATCAGATCTCGTATAGTTTCGCAAAGATGGTGACAACCATTGGTGACGATCTAGTCGATCAGATGACGAAAACATGGGTCATTTCATCCCTGACACAAAAGCATAGGCAATCGTTTTGGGGTTTAAACGATGACAAAGACATATTCATGACAACAAAGACAGGCAGCGGTAAATCACTTTCATACGAAGGTGTACCAGTCGTGGATGATGATTTTATTAAACGTTCTCTGATTGGACCTTCGATATGTGCGATAGTCCAATCATATCTAGCACAGGAAAGTGGGCTTGATGTGGCAAGGGTGGAAACAAGACTTGATAATAAGACTACTGGCCGCTCTTAGGGCTGGGACAGGTAACTCGGGTACTCGGGTCGGGTGGGTACTGAGTAGGACCCGAGTGTCCACAGGACTACCCGGACCCGTGGTTTGTCACGTGATATATTGTTTCATGACAATATTTCACTATTTAACTACATGGTTACACGACAATTTTAAGTCTCTAAAGTTCGCATTTCTTCATGACAATGAACACCTTCCTTCTGACTGATATATGTTTGAAAAAAACTAAAACTTCAGTTAACTTCAGTGTATGCATGGCCACATCGTTTTATACGTGTATCTAAATACATTCTGCCAGGGCTGCTGTCAAACTATTCCCAATCGGACATTTTGTACCTATCTCTTGACACCAACAGCGGGTACCCGGGAAGGGTCGGGTAATAGGGGTGTGGATACCCGGGTAGTAAATTTAGACTCGCCCCAGCCCTAGTGGCCCGCTCTGGCCTCGGGTAGATGCAGGTTTCCATGCGTCTATATTATCACTTCACCATTCTCCGTTCATGCTGCAGGTCGCCGCATATGTCTGGGGGAGTCACTAGCCCGGATGGAGCTGTTCCTCTTCATTTCCGCCCTGGTTCAGAGGTATGACATCCGGGTGGCTACAACCGGTCAGCTACCAAGCCTAGAAGGTCAAGTCGGCCTGACGTATACCCCGCCGGACTACACAGTCCGAATGGTCAAGAGGTTCCAGGACGACACAGATACAGCTATGTGAAACCAAAAGACTGTCGCTGCTTGTTTTGTTTGTTTGTTTGTTTGTTGTTCAACGCTGCCCTCAGCAATATTCCAGCTCTATGACGGCGATATGTAAATAACCGAGTCTGGACCAGACAATCCAGTGATTGCCATGACATTCAACTGGGATACGATGGGATACGATGACATGCATCAACCAAGACAGCAAGCATGACTCCCCGAACCCGTTAGTCGCTTCTTACAAGCATGGATCGGTTGCTGAAGACAAATTCCAACCCGGATCTTCATGGGTAGTTCACAGCTAACCAGCCCTACCGCAGACACGGTTAACGACATGGGAGCTAACACAATTACCTTGAACTTTGAAGGACAGTCGAGACGCTTTAAAAAAATCCGAATTTGTGATGCACATCTTCCCGGGGTAAGGGTTGGTTGTTGGTTGGTTTGTTGTTTAACGCCGCACTCGGCAATATTCCAGCTATGTGACGGTGGTCTGTAAACAATCGAGTCTGGACCAGACAATCCAGTGATTAAAATCATGATCATCGATCCACGCAATTGGGATCGATGACATGCATCAACCAGGCCAGCGAGCCTGACCACCCGATCCCGTTAGTCGCCTCTTGCGACAAGCATAGTCGCCTTTTACGGCAAGCATGGGTTGCTGAAGACCTATTCTACCCCGGATCTTCACGGGTCCCCGGGGCAAGGGAGTTAACTGACTATAAAAGTACTAGGCTTGAGTTATGGAGTTATATTTTAGCTGGACTAATCGCCTTACGAAATCATCATCCGATTCGTAAACTGCCGTGCAGATTCCTGTAGAATACAGGATTTGCAAAGCATGTGTAGCGTCAGCTTAGCGTCAACATATACTTTCCAAATCTTTTCACGTTTTCAGTCAAGGTGCTCACGTGGTTTGATGCACTTTGCGAAGACTTCGGGAAGATGTGTGCCACATGATGTGACTACTTTGGAAATGTGCTCCTATTATCTTTCATGTCCAGGCGGAATATCATAGCTACACTGCCGCCAGTGTTAGAGATAGCCCATTTGATATCCACGCCACGTCTAGGGCAAAACATTTCACGAATACGGGTCCAAGCTCTATTTGCATGTTTATCATACGTTGCCTTACGTTGTGTGAGGCGACTACGGTTACAGCATACACTGTATATCATCGAAAAGAGCCCCGTACATCTGATAGTATATCTTCATGTTTTAGACCTCCATACAAGACTATTATTATTTTGAAGCTGGTTGTTATCTATAACGAAAATATTGTTTAGAAGTTCAATAAATAATATTTACATCAAGTCAACTGCAAATAACTGTGTGTTGATTATGGTGGCGGTGAGGTAAAATAGCACTTATACATATAGCGACGTGTGTGTGTGTGTGTGTGTGTGTGTGTGTGTGTGTGTGTGCGAGCGCTTGTACTAATCCGGACTAATGACGATTTTATAGTGCTAGCCCACTGACATACCTACCATGCAGCAGTTTAACATGAATAGCCCACCCACTCAGACACAGTATACTTATTCCGAGCCGACCAGTCCTCATTTTAGCCCCTTAATCCCTTTATGCCGAGCTTATGGCAGGGTAACAACAAGTACCATCTTTACGTCATTTGGTATGACGCGGCCGGGGATCGACGCTCCCAGACGCTCTATCCACCAGACAACGGAGGCGGTTATTGATTATAGTCATGAAAGAATAGGATATTATAATGATTTGTTAATAAACAAGGAACACAAGAGTATTGTTCGTTACAAGTTCACACGTGGGGTTAAATCTCGCTATGCATTCGATGATTATTGTTCTAAGCTGGAATGAATATAAACTCATTCAAACAAGTATGGGAACACCCAGGTGTTCCTATGGGACACAAACACACTACAATAGACAGAAAATGATAAATTCAATAGAGTTTACCAAGGAGCGATCAAGTATGGAAAAACAAGGTAACCCAGATATCGCATTAAAACCAGTAGTGTCACTTCATAATGTCACAAGAATGACAAGGAGCGAGTGAGTGAGTTGGGTTTAACGCCGCTTTTAACAGTATTCCAGTTATATCACGTCGGGTCAGCTTAATGTGGGAGGAAAGCCTGAAGTGATGCAGGTCTCACTTCGGTGAAACACACGAGCACAGGCATGGTGCTGACAAACCTAGAAACATAGCTCGGAGTTAGTGAGTGAGTGAGTGAGTGAGTAAGTTTGGTTATACGCCGCTTTTAGCAATATTCCAACAATATCACGGCGGGGGACACCAGAATTGGGCTTCACACATTGTACCCATGTCGGGAATCGAACCCGGGTCTTCGGCGTGACGAGCAAACGCTTTAACCACTCTTCTACCCGATCGGACCCCACTTTAATGAAGCTGAAATGTGACTGCGGCGATAAACAATTACTCACTCATACTGCAGCCATGAGCCATTCATACTGCAGCCATATATGCCACTCACCCCCACTGTAACCATGATCCACTTTCATACTGTAACAAAAAGCCACTCACCCACACTGTAATCATGTTCCACTTTCATACTGTAACAAAAAGCCACACTGTAACCATGAGTCATTCATAGTGTAACAAAAAAACTCACCCACTCTGTAACCATGATCTACTTTCATACTGTAACAAAAAGCCACTCACCCACACTGTAACCATGAGCCATTCATACTGTAACAAAAAAACTCACCCACTCTGTAACCATGATCTACTTTCATACTGTAACAAAAAGCCACTCACCCACACTGTAATCATGTTCCACTTTCATACTGTAACAAAAAGCCACTCACCCACACTGTAACCATTATCCACTTTCATACTGTAACGAAAAGCCACTCACCCACACTGTAACCATGATCCACTTTCACACTGTAACGAAAAGCCACTCACCCACACTGTAACCATGATCCATTTCCATACTGTAACAAAATGCTTCACACATTGTACCCATGTCGGGAATCGAACCCGGGTCTTCGGCGTGACGAGCAAACGCTTTAACCACTCTTCTACCCGATCGGACCCCACTTTAATGAAGCTGAAATGTGACTGCGGCGATAAACAATTACTCACTCATACTGCAGCCATGAGCCATTCATACTGCAGCCATATATGCCACTCACCCCCACTGTAACCATGATCCACTTTCATACTGTAACAAAAAGTCACACTGTAACCATGAGCCATTCATACTGTAACAAAAAACCTCACCCACTCTGTAAGCATGATCTACTTTCATACTGTAACAAAAAGCCACTCACCCACACTGTAACCATGAGCCATTCATACTGTAACAAAAAACCTCACCCACTCTGTAAGCATGATCTACTTTCATACTGTAACAAAAAGCCACTCACCCACACTGTAACCATGAGTCATTCATACTGTAACAAAAAACCTCACCCACTCTGTAAGCATGATCTACTTTCATACTGTAACAAAAAGCTACTCACCCACACTGTAACCATGAGTCATTCATACTGTAACAAAAAACCTCACCCACTCTGTAAGCATGATCTACTTTCATACTGTAACAAAAAGCCACTCACCCACATGATCTACTTTCATACTGTAACAGAAAGCCACTCACCCACATGATCTACTGTCATACTGTAACAAAATGCCACTCACCACACTGTAATCATGTTCAACTTTCATACTGTAACAAAAAGCTACTCACCCACACTGTAACCATGAGTCATTCATACTGTAACAAAAAACCTCACCCACTCTGTAAGCATGATCTACTTTCATACTGTAACAAAAAGCCACTCACCCACATGATCTACTTTCATACTGTAACAGAAAGCCACTCACCCACATGATCTACTGTCATACTGTAACAAAATGCCACTCACCACACTGTAATCATGTTCAACTTTCATACTGTAACGAAAAGCCACTCACCCACACTGTAACCATAATCTACTGTCATACTGTAACAAAAAGCCACTCACCCACACTGTAACCATAATCTACTTTCATACTGTAACGAAAAGCCACTCACCCACACTGTAACCATGATCCACTTTCATACTGTAACAAAATGCCACTCACGCACACTGTAACCATGATCCACTTCATACTGTAGCAAAACAAAAGCCACTCACCCACACTGTAACCATAATCTACTTTCATACTGTAACAAAGAACCATTCACCCACACTGTAACTATGTGAGCCTCTCACTCCAACTGTAGGATTGGGAGTCATGCAACTTTAGAACCGGCATCGATTCAACATTTTACAGTGTGTATGGATCCACAAAAACAGAAAAACACCCTATTAATGTGAGCAATATGAGCACATGTGTAATGTTCTCCATGAAATCCTGCAGGCGTACGCCCTTGATTTCGTTGTATACGTCTCTTCTAGGGGACCATTCATCCTCAGTATTATCTAATGTTTATGCGTCTTTATCTGTTGGAACACTCGCAACATTTCACCAATAGAAAATATTGTCTGAAGTCAAATGTATAATTTGGAGACGAAAAAAGTGTTCAAACGTTTCCCTGCGTTTATCGGGAATTCTGATATGTATCAGATATCGAGCGACACGAGGTCGAGAGTTTATTTATCATGAAACATATTCTGACTCATAAATGTTAATACAAAAAGGTTTCAGATTCGGTCCCCAATGTCCGACTATTTGAAAAATTTAAAAGCGCATTAGAGGATAGGGACTACTGAGGATTTATCGACATTGCATCGCTTTCATGCCACTGTGTGAATAACATGCATCATTATCAAAGCGTGTGGGATTTTACGAGCTGAATTTCATTTTGCGCAAACACATATGGACACTAAGGAAAACCAATGAAGGAAAACCAGAGCGTCCCTAGTTGAATATGTATTCTGGCATAACGAACTTTCAATAGCGTACAATCCGCCACGAATACCCTACACAATTATATTATACTGAGAAGATTCGACAAACTATTGTTGTGAAATATTGGTCATGCGTCATCTCCGTTCCTACTTTTGCAATACAATTAGTATCAACGATGTTCAATATACAGTAAACTACGGTTATAACGAACTCAAAAGGGCCACTAATTGTAGTTCGTTATAACCGTAGTTCGTTATAAGCAGCATAGATACAGCAGTAGCCGGAACAAAAAAATTAAGTTCGTCATATCCGTCAGTTAGTTA